TCACAGTAAAGGTGAGCGTTGCGAGACGAGTGTCTTAGAGGACTTCTTTTGAAATAGGTCTTTCAAGGTTAGTGTCGGATATCATGGGTGTGCTGAGATTGCGTCACACCCATGTGTCAAAATTTGGTATACGCACCCACTATCCTATATGGAGTCTGTAAATGATATGACATGAACACTTAAGGGTTCAATATCTCGATAAAAATAGATGACCATTACCAGGGACTCAACGATGGACCATCACTTACTGATTTTGAATAATAAGAAAATTCATAAATTTAAAACAATTAAACTCGTGCGTGCACATCAGAAATTTGATTAAAATATTAATAAAAACTTAGTATTACAAAAGACTAAAAGAGACGACCAACCAAAACTATTACAAGTTCAAATTATCTAAAATATGTGAAATGCATGATTTATAAGACAAGTATGAAACGAAATCTAGACTAGATATGGTGTGACTCCCCAAAGCCAACGGCCCACGTGCAACTCCCGAACACTACATCATGCTCCATCTGAAAAGAAAATTAAAGTCGTAGGGTTGAGTATATAAAATATATTTAGTAAGCAAATTGCTCATAGCTCTTAGTTTGTTCGGAAGTACGTTCTTTAGGTCTCCTAAATTGTCATCGTCACAATTCTATATTGTAAGCCTTCATGGTGCAACCCCAACATCAGTCATAAGTTTTCATAAGGTTCATGCACACTATAGTTCCACCGACTGTTTAGGTACTACTGCACACCCCTCCCGCTCTTGACAGGATTGTTAAGAGGAAATTAATTGAAAAACTCTCTAATAATCCCAAAAGAGTAGTCATATCATAAGCCAGTTTTATAGTTATCCAGGCCCCCAAAAATTGAGTCAAGTTTACAATGAAGGGCTAGTTGGCGAACCCCTAATCGTCATTCATATAACCACATAAATAATCACGTCCACAAATAAACTAACTATCAAGGTATTACTACAGATCCATAGCACTCATGATAGGTTCACTGAGAGGAAATTAACTCCCAAACTTCCTAATAATCTCCATACAATCACAAATCATAAGCAAGTTCTATACTTATCTAGACCCTTGATAATCGAGTAGGTTTACGATTAGAAGCTAATTGTCCCCGTATAATCGCATAAAATCACATTCACACAAATTATGAATATACACATAGCATAGTGACTTAAACATGGATACCTAGTCATGGTTTCAGTTTCACTCGAATCAGAGCTCAATTCATGTATTTTTCGAAAAACATGCATCATAATGTTTAGCATGCTCTTACACACATCAAATCAACTCATTACATCAATGCACTATCTATTACTGACTGATAAAGACAAATCAGAGTTCTTTGATGAGGTTCCACAGGTGGGAGATTCAACCATATGAGAGCAAGTCATGGATGTTGATCTTAGTGAAGATGTAGACTCTAGTAAGAACGCATCTGGATATATCTACACTATAGATGGACTAACAATGTGTTGGATGTCCAAGCTTCATAACTATGTTGCTCTTTCCTCTACTGAGACTAAGTACGTGGCAATAGTTGAAGCTGAAAAGGAGATGATATGGATGATAGATTGTCTAAAAGAATTAGGAAAGAAGCAGTGCAGAAGATTCTTGATACAGATAGTCATAGTGTCATCCAATTGGTGAAGAACTCAATCTATCATGCAAAGACAAAACACATCAAAAGATAATACATTTCGTGTGCACGTTAGGAGAAGAATATAATATATGTTTGGAAAAAATAAATGGTGAACAGAATTCAACCCGTGTTGAAAAAATGTGTTGATCTTCAAAATTGAGGTTTTGCAAAACCTTAGTTGGTCTGGTGTCTAAAGATATTGATGGTGAGGTAAAAATTTATGAGAATGAAGTTCTTCCTTGACCGGATCAATCACAAGTGGGAGAATTGTTATAGTTTAATGAGTTATACACAGTAAATGACTATATATATGCATATTAGAAGATTATATCTCGTAAAGGTATATATACAATAAACTGAACCATATATATCCTTAGAAGCAATGCTTTGAATCTCTGTGTTCTCTATTACTGTACATACTTGAAATCATCAATATAAATCTGTAGCCAATATCTCTCCTTGCACTTTCTCTATCTTGTTCTTCATGTTCTTCATGTTCTTCATCTAGATTGAGCGCGTGAGTTGTTTTACGGTCGTAACATATTACTCTCTACCAATCTCTTCATTTGAAGTAATTTACTAATATATGTGGGTACATCCTTTTTAATCTCTAGGGTCATAGCACTATATTGTTTGTTTTATGTTTCAAGTCATCTGACTGAAACATCTAATTTTCCTAAGCAAAAAACATTTTCAACCGTATACTAGTGTTAAGTAGCCTACTAACCTCTTTCCGAAAGACTATAACTTCATAAGCACAACACGAATCTCACTAAATATAAACAATTCCAAATCATCAATACATCGTATAAGATTCACATTTCATGCATGCTAAGTCATTCATTATAATTCAATGGTATACCTGACGGTGACGAGGCATCCATTGCAAAGTCATGGAAACATAAGGACTATGACTTAAAAGAGGAAATCTAACTATCGTAACTTTGTTCAACCTCTTCAGCTAACACTGTCATCCATACCTGGGAGTCTTACCATTACCTAAAAAAAATATAGTAACTAGGTTTGATTATTTAAACATACTAAGTAGTTCCACTATTGAGATCAAAAGTTTAATCACATAGAATCATGATTCCTAGTGGGGTAACTTTTCGTGACTATTCCTTAGGCTCTACTTTCTTTTCTTTACAGGGTTGGATGTGTAGTACTTCTTTACACATGGTTCACTCACATGCAGTGAACCTAGTGGGCAGACTCATATAAGTAACTCCTAGGCTTGACGACGAGCTAACGCATGTTCATATTGTCGGAAACAAATGGAAGGAAAGGAGTGCATATTGTATCATGGTGTACATGTCTAGTACAAAATATATTGGAAAATATCTCATGCTCGTGACATACGACATGCATGAGATCCCGAAGTTCAAAAATATGGTATATGGTTATGATGCAAACTATACTTTTATTTATTTATTTTTTTTTTTTTCATGATGTAACTCTCCTATGAGACATGCACTCATCACTTTCACTATTATTATACATAGCTCAATGTTTTTTCATAGCATAACACAAACATAGTATCGTAACATACATAGTATAACATACTAGTAGTACATGCATTAATAATACTCGTATCTATCACTTACTCATGGTAAACATCTAAGACCTCAAGAATGACTAAGACATCCAATGCCTTTAGAAAGGTTTAGAAAACTTTTGGAAAATAAATGATAAGCATGCAAAAATGTCATTTTTCTAATTTGAGTAAGCTTGGGGCAAGTTCTTCTAGCTTTACTGAGTGAAAGAGTGAAAGAAGGGGCCCTCGCGGACATGCTACGTCTCGACAAAGAGGACGGAAAGGAGAGGTCCCTCGGTCAATAACACGCTGGTCAGGAAGTCGAGCAGCTTGGCTTCTTTTCCTTCAGAAGAAAGATGAATCAGACAGATTGAACTCGGTAAACAAGACGATTCTCCTGACAGAGTTTTAACTCCTATTGGATAAGGAACTTCAAGATATTAAAGGATGATAAAATTACCAAAATGGGTAAGAAAGTTTTAGAAAAAGTTTGGATTTTCATTAAACATGGCAAAATTACCAAAAAGTCCATGAAGTTTAAGATATGTACGAAATTGTCCATGCACATAATCTACAAAGCGGATTTGATTTCTATACGAACCAAGCTCATAAAATCTTTCATATCTCTTCATCCAACCGTTCATTTTTTCTTAAAATTCGATATGATCGAGAAGACTCAAACTTCAGATCCAACGCCTAGAATTCGAGACCCTCTGATCCGAGAAGATATTTTTATTTTTTTATTTTTTTTTTGTGAGAACTTTAAAATTTTAAACTTCAAAATCAAGGCGGTCCGGACGTTTGAAGGAAGGTGCAAGCTCCTGTAATTTAGGAAGCAAGGATTGTCGTATAGGACAAGAATCAAGCTATAAATGTTCCATTTTTTGGTATCTTTCCTCGAGTTTCTTCTCAAATTTGAGGGTTTTAGTCCACCAATTGACTCCAAACCTATTCCTACACATCTTAAACAAGATTACTCACAACTTTAGGAAGAAAACGAGTGCTTAAAGTGTCCAAACACATTCTCGCAATCCAATTGACATTAACGCTAAGGGAGGGTGCATAAATCGATATCGTGCCTACACACAAATTCGTCCCCTACAATCAATTCCATTCGCTTTCTAGACACTAAAGGAACAGATCTTAACAAGATCACGAAGGCCAACAAGCTCAGAACAGAAGAAAATTTGAAAATTTCGTTTTCGGGAAACAATCAAATGAATTGGGGGTAACTTCTAGTTCCTTTTCTCCGGTTCTTTTCATCTCAAATTAACCTTTATTTAACTTCATAATACTTCGACGAACATCTTTGATGAGAGATTGAAGTCTATTAAGGTCATGTGTGAGCTAACGAAGAAAGAAACTATCGAGTGTAAATTTTGAGTTTGGACTCGAGAGAAACACGTGCTAAAAAAACCGAATAACGGTCAATGTTTTTCAAAATTTTCGTGGGAAATGATCAAGCTTGATGATTTAAAATGGAATGTCAAAGAAAATGAGTGTATAAAACAGTAAAAAAATGCTTAAAATCAAAACTCTAATCTCGAAACCCTAATCCAAGGGTGGGCAAGCTATTAAACAAAAAAGATAACTCTTCTCGAGGCTCCGGACTCTTTAACGTTGCCGTCTGCAGCCACGTCTAAGTGTTTTATAACAAATAAATTAAATTTAGTCTATTTTTAGCCATGTATACATACATCTATATATATATATATATATATATATATACACATGCATCTATGTTTGGAGAAAAGTTCTAATTATCCCTTAAAAGCATGAAGTCCCACCATAGTGGAATAAACAAATGATCAATGAACAATAACATCAAGGCTTTGCTCTCTATTTAAGCTCAGCCAATTATTTCAGTTTCAGTTAATATTAATTCATAGAAGAAAAGAAAAATTAGCTAAAAGGAGTATATGATCTTACACATAAGCCTAATCATCAACAGCATATAGTTTCAAATGCTCTTTTCGCCCCAAGTTCCTGAAATCTCTGGTTGAGACCGACCTCCGAATCCGACCAGACATATGTGTATCACGGTCTTCGATGTTAAAGGTTGAGTATCTTCTCGACTTGGGTAACGGAGGCAATTTGAGGTTGTTGGTAGCCTCAAGACGGCCTTCGGTTCGCGACGGTTTCTTATTAGATGTGGTTGGAGATGGCAAGAAGTTAGAGCTCCCCTTTCCTGATCCTCCCCTGTTAACGCTTGAGGAGGTGCTTGTCGTAGTACTCTCTTTTCTCCCTCCCGTGTTAGCACTCGAGGAGGTGCTCATTGTAGTACTCCCTCGATCTTCACTTTGTTCGTCAGCATCGACCATTTGCTGTGAAAGCTAAAATAACATTAATGTCATTACATACAGCCAAGGTGGTTGCCATGACATCATCTTTGGGCTTTCCCTTTCAGGCTTCCTCTCAAGGTTTTTAAAACAGATTTGCTAGGGAGAGGTTTCCACACCCTTATAAAGAATGTTTCGCCCCCCTCTCCAACCGACGTGGGATCTCACGTGCTTTGTAGCATAAAGTAGTGTCCATTTTTTTATTTCTTATCGACCAACTCAATTGTAGCTATACAACTTTGGGGATATGCTGAAAATTCCTAAGGAACGGAGTCAAAGGCGGGTCAAACTCACATAAGTAGAGCATACCTGTTTGCGAATGTTCGACTCTTTTGGTTTTTCAGCAGCTAAATCTTTCCTCCGACGCCCTTGGTGTGTAGAAGAACGCCTTGTCGCTTTAGGATTCTTGGACCTGTAAATTGATCTACGTAAATAAAAACGTCTCATAAAACCGAAAAACTACAAGACTTGTCACTTATTTCCAACGACAAACAACTTACTTCGGCTGATTCGTTTGATTCGGTTCATCGGGCTCACTATGGATAACAGGAAGACCCGAAACATCACATGCCAATGGGCTTGTGTAAAAGAACTGCAAAAGCATATAGTTCAGGTACATTGTTATACAACTTTGCTACCTAAAGAAGCTTAGATTCTAAGTTGGACTTTATACTTCATTCTCGAGAGCTAACGACGCAGAACCGCGATATGAAGGCTCTAAAGCAAGTAGAGTGCTTAGGAGACCTAAAGACGAGGACGGCAGATGCTTAAACGATTCTCGGAGACTAGGTCGATACGACTGCGGAGGCTTGAAACTCGGTGATAGCTTGAGTTTTCTCCAATATTCCTCAGATGGTGTTCCACATACCTTGAAAATTTTGTGGAGTTGTTCAACCTGATTCAACAATAGAACAGTTTTATCATACATCAAAACATAGTTCAACATGGCTTGAATTATAATGAACTTCACCTCTGTTCGACCGGGCAGAATCGGCCTTCCCGTAAACATTTCGGCCAAGAGGCATCCAGCACTCCATAGATCAATGCCAACTCCATAATCTGTAGAACCTAACAATAGCTCCGGGGCTCGATACCTGTTAAGAATATAAATAAAAATCTGAACAGACCATAATCTATCGAATATCGAACATAGTATCGATCGAAGTTGATACTCATGAACCAATTTGATATCTAAGAACGCACATGAGGGATGTGTTAAGAATAGACATGAAAAAGAATGAGTATTATTAGGAATCACGACTCTCCATAATATGATATTGTTCACTTTGAGCATAAGCTCTTGTGGCTTTGCTTTTGGTTTCCCCTAAAGGCCTCGTACCAATGGAGATGTATTCCTTACTTATAAATTCATTATTAACTCCTTAATTAGCTAATGTGGGACTCTCTCCCGACCATCCTCAACAATCTTCCCCTCGAACAAAGTACACCATAGAGCCTCCCCTAAGGCCTATGTAGCTCTCAAACAGCCTCCCTCCATTAGTTGAGGCTCGACTCCTTTCTCTGGAGCTCTAGAACAAAATACACCATTTGTTTGACACCACTTGAGTCGCTTTTAACTACACCTTCGAAGTTCACAACTTCTTTGTTCGACATTTGAAGATTCTATTAACATGGCTAAATTAAGGGCATGGCTCTGATACCATGTTAGGAATCACGACTCTCCACAATGATATGATATTATCCACTTTGAGCATAAGCTCTCGTGGCTTTGCTTTTGGATTCCCCAAAAGACCTCATTACCAATGGAGATGTATTCCTTACGTATAAACTCATGACCAACCCTTTAATTAACTGACGTGGGGCTCCTCTCCGAACAATCCTCAACAAGTATCCCCGAACCTATCAACGTAAGCGGTTGAATTTAAGGGTGATTAACAATACCAAAGTGTCACAACACGATTTGTAAGATGTATCTTTGGACCGAAAAAATTGGCAAGACCAAAGTCACCAATCTTCAGCATCCCGTTTTTGTCGATTAACAGGTTTGATCCTTTGATATCACGGTGTAGTATCCCCTTATCATGGCAATGCTTCAGACCAGAGAGTAGCTGATGCATATAGCATTTGACCTGCACAAAGAGTTAATACAACAGAAATAATAAACGGCGAAAAATTTGCGTCCGAAACGCCCGAACTGTCATCATCATGTACTGAAGAGAACTAACCTGAGGCTCCGTAAGCCGTACTCCGGGGCGAGAAATAACCCGGGCCAAATCAGTCTGCATAAACTCGAAAACAAGATAAAGACTGAACTGCATTCTTGAGGTGGCCAATCCTTCAAGTTTGACAATGTTGGGGTGATCCAATTTCAGTAATATCATAATTTCTCTTGCCATGAACTTCACACTCTCAGGCTCTGTTGTATCAAAACGGACCTTCTTAAGGGCAACAATCCTTCCACTTTCCCTATCTCGAGCTTTGTACACATTGCTGTAACTTCCTTGGCCTACCTATTACATAAACATTTCAAAACTATCATAGATATTCATCAATAAATTACAGAGATCTTTGAAACATATAATTTTGTTGCGATCGATACCATTTAGAGGTATTAACGTGAGAGAATTGATAAGGAATCAACTCGAAGGAAAGCTCTAATACCAAATGATAAGGAATCACTACAAGGGAAGTAAGATTCGGATTACCTTGTTAATCGAATATCTCAAGGCAAGAACACTTGATTAAGATTCGAATCACTCTACAAGCAAGATCGATCATGTCAAGCTTGAAGGATTTTAAACAAGCAACCTAAACTACATAGAATTGTATAGAAACTTAGCATTTGGCCAAGGAAAGGTAACAACACTTAGCCCTAATGATAATGGAACAGCCTAAACCCACCACTAGTAGATATTGTCCTCTTTGGGTTTTCCCTTCTGAGCTTTCCCTCAAGATTTTAAAACGTGTCTACTATGGAGAGGGTCTAGTCCTACTCCGACTAGTGTCTCGCACCGTTCGGTGACTGGCTCTGGTACCCTTTGTAACAACCCAAGCCCACCGCTAGTGGATATCATCCTCTTTGAGTTTTCCTTTTCGGGCTTCCCCTCAAGGTTTTTAAAACGCGTCTACTAGGGAGAGGTTTCCACACCCTTATACGGAATGCTTCGTTCTCCTCTCCAACCGATGTGGAATTTCATAGATAAGGAATCACTCCAAGGAAAAGTAAAATTTCAATTACCTTGTTGATTAAATATCTCAAGGCAAGAACACTTGATTGAGATTCAAATCACTCCACAAGCAAGATCGATCATGCCAAGCTTGAATGATTCTAAACAAGCAACCTAAACTACATAGAATTGTATAGAAACTAAGGAAAGGTAACAACACTTGGCCCTAATTATAACGAAACATCCTAAACCCACCGCTAGTAGATATTGTCCTCCTTTGGGCTTTCCCTTTGGAGCTTCCCCTCAAGGCTTTAAAATGCGTCTACTATGGAGAGGGTCTAGTCCTACTCCAACCAGTGCCTCGCACCATCCGGTGACTGGCTCTGGTACCCTTTGTAACAGCCCAAGCCCACCGCTAGCGGATATCATCCTCTTTGGGCTTTCCTTTTCGGGCTTCCCCTCAAGGTTTTTAAAACGTGTCTATTAGGGAGAGGTTTCCACACCCTTATAAGGAATGTTTCGTTCTCCACTCCAACCGATGTGGGATTTCACAGATAAGGAATCACTCCAAGGGAAAGTCAAGGGAAAGTAAAATTTCAATTACCTCATTGATCAAATAACTCAAAGCAAGATCGATCAGGTAAGCTTAAATGCTTCTAAACATGAAATCTAAACTACGTAGAATTACAAAGATCACCCCTAAATCAGAGAAGACATCACATGTTCCGTTCTAAAGTTTCAAGAACCTCGTAAATCCCAAATGCCAAACACTCATAACCTACAGGGTCAACATAATCATAATATCCTTAAAACTTACAAAATCATTGCAATAAACAGAGAATCCAATTTCAAGGAAGACAATTAAACAGACACTAGATTTTGAGCTAAAAAAGAAGGACAACCTTATCAAGCTTGTCATAGGCCTCCACACTCTTGGGAACCAAGCCAGCCAACACATGCTTAGGAATATTGCTAGTAAGCCATTTGGGCCATCCATCCACCACCACCTCACTCTTCTCTAAACCTAATCCGCCATTACCGCCGCCGCCATCACAACCGTGGGAGTTCACTGCTTCAGAGGCCTCCCTGTTGACAAATCTCCTCTGCGCCGCTGGCCTCCGATGAGCATTAAAATCCCCAATCCCAACATACCCATTTTCCAATTTCAGGCTCTGAATTCCCCCATTAGGTGAATTCATCGAATGCTTCGCTTGCGCGCAGCCCATCGATTTGGGGGAGAAAATTAGGGTTTGGAATTTGAGGAAAAGGGGATGATGAGAAGCATTTGGAGTGATGGATATGGATGGGGAAAAGAAGACGAGCTTGGCTGTCCATGGCCGGCACTTTAGAGATCTTCTTCATAGCTTTCTCCGCTCAATGAGTGAAGAGGATTGTAGGCAACAACTTTTGTTCATTGATAATTTTGAGAGAGAATCGAAAGCGGAAATTGCCGTGCTGGGATTTGAGAGAAAAATGGAATGATGAATGATCGAATCCAATGATGGCGAATGATGATGAACGCTAATTTGAAGTTTGATCCATTTGCGTTAATTTACAAAATTTACTAGTCACTCCTCTTTTCGATGAACTTCTATTGCAAAGACGATTCGTAGGCGCATTTCTAAGCAACACAAAACGAAGAGGATTTCGGTTGAGAAGGTTTGTTTAAATTACAAACAGATCAAAATAGTAATAAATGGAAATCTCTGTCATAACAGTTAAAATATCTAGATATTTGTATTTAATAAAATATTAAATAATATATATGCTAAACTATAATTTAATATTAAATATCTTTAACACTCCCGAAAGCTGAGCGTCGGATTTGAATGAACATGAAGCTTGGATCTAAAAAATTCAAAGAGAAATCGAGAAATACTTTTTGTGAAGATGTCAACAACCTGATTCGGAGGAGGCATAGATGAACACTTTCTTGCCCATCGAAAACTGCGGAGGGATCGTCGCTTAGCGGCGATGCTGCTTTGGCTTGGGAGAGAATACGCCTAACCCATGAAGAGCGATCGTTGCTCAGAAACGATGCTGGGCTTCGATGATAATATTTCTAACCCAAGAAGTAGAAGGGGGAAACCTAGAGCAAGGGACAAAGACAATGTTGAAGCCGGAAGAGTCGTCACAGTGGGCAAAGAAGCCAATTTTAGCAAGAACGGAGGCGACGACTTGGTTGGCAAAGAGGCCAGTGCGACACTAAGATTTCGAAGGTAAATCTTTGTAGAAGGTCGATAGCCTTCTCGAGATTATGTATATTTTCGATGAGAATGTTGATGAGGATCATGAGGTTAGGGTTTTTGTGAATGTTGAAGAGAAGATTGGGAAGAAAATGAAAGATGCTATATTGGTTAAGGAAAAATCGATTGGGTTGGAAAAGGTGAGGTTGTATGTACAAAGTATGGCAAAGGGTGATTTGGAGGTCAAAATGGTGGAGCCAAAAAGTAATCAATCGGGTCCGCTAGCAGCAGCCATGGCGACTGCCCCTGCGGCGTCAAAGCCAACAATGGTCGTGGAGAAAAATAGTAGAATATTCAAAAGCCATTGAAAAGCCGAAAATGGCTCTAATAACATGGGAATGTTTGTTTAATCCACCACACCTAGATGATGTGTGAAAATTTTGTGTTTATAATCAAATAAATTACAAGAATATGGCAATTTAATAAAATATCAAATATAATATATATGGTAAACTATAATTTAGTATTAAATATCTTTACCAATAGGACTTGAAAATACATCAACTCAAAAATCATATAAAGAATCAACTCATGACCAATTTTGACATTGAAAAACATGAAAGTTTGTGTACACAAAAAGAAGACTAGACTGACGTCCCGGGACATGTTTTCCTATGTGACAATCCACATCTATCAAACACGCCCTCTCTTGACCCGTCACCTCATACACCTGGAAAGGAAAATATAGCAAAGATGATTATAAAAGTTATTTTTTAGTAAGCCACCTATTTGTAGGCTCTCATTGGCTCTAGAACGTTTAGTTCTAGTCTTAACCCCTGGTGCTATTCTGGTTCTCCATCCTTTCATTTAAACCTTGAGAGTTCCTTATGCTGAACTGTGAACGACCGGTGTCCCTCTATGAGGTCCATAATAGTCCCCCTCATTGAGGGGCACAACCCCTCCCTTATCCCATGTAGCTAATGGGTTGTATGACATGGGTCTCACGTTCACCATGCAAAACGACTAGGTTCAGTCGGTTAGATCAAAAACTCTTATTCTCCCACGAAGTTATAGACATCGTTCACACATCTAACGACCTAAGGACACTCTTAAGGTGGTTCTCGTATGTCGTGGTGATCTGTTAGGCTCATACGGGAAACGTTAGGTCAAAACTTAGTGGCTTGTCCCTCTAACCACAAATCCCTAGTCTTAACATAATACTGGATCATGAAAATTGAATGTGCACACATTAAATTATCTAGAATCAACAATACATAATTCATGCAAAATTAAACGTACATGCTCATCGGCGACAACATCCATCAACACCCAGAGCAAAAAGTTCACATATTCTTCCTTTCAGCATGAATTAATCACGTACATATGTATTTAACGGAAGCATAAAACACGATTACATTCTCATAGCATTTCACATTATTCATCCATACTCATATTACCTAAAATCATTTCATGAAAAATCTACAACCTAAGATGTTTTAGCACGCATGTGTGCATCCAAGCGATCCCTACAAGTATTTCTTCCTAAAAATTTGTACGGTGACTTATATGATTGATGCATGCCCTTTTGCTTAGCGTTTCTACACAAATAGGGTGCCCAAAAATATTGATTTTCCTCAATTAGGTCCTAATTCACATAAGAATAGGGTTTGAATTGAAATTAGGATGAAAATTGGGCAAACACGAGTCAAATAGGACAATATCGAACTTACATGGGTCGGCCATGCACTGGGGGAAGTTCTAGTCGTAGGCGTCACGCGCGTGTACTTTCTACAGACACGGGTTAGGTGTTCTGATTCGGGTCGGTTTGGTTCGCAGGTCAGCTGGTTCGGTTTGCTCGAGTTGGACCACGAGTTGGTTGGGGCAACGGGTTGTGGGTCAAAATTGGGTCAGCACGCAGGTTGTGGGTCGGAACGTAGGTTGCAAATGTCACGTGTTGTGGGTCGCTCCACTCGAGGTCTGACATGTGTCCGGTGGCTAATGGTGCCTCTCGTCGGTTAACACGTGGCACGCCGTCATCTTCTCTCTCTTCCTCACAGAAACAACACAATTTTTCGATTAGTTTTTCGTCGTTTGTCTCATTTTCATATCTCTCGATTTTGAACTCAAACCGAGATGATTCTTGAGAGAGATCTCAGATCTAAGGGAAGAAAGTTGATTTACTTACCTAACTCTTTGTTTCTCGAGTGTTCTTGGTCCTTGGTAGAAGGAGGTGTTTTTCGATCACTCAAATCCCAAGAACCTTGGCTGAGGATGAACTCCAGCGGTGTTATATGGTGTTTAGTTAGTCACTTTACATACATAGTTGTTTTTATTATTTCAAGGAAGGAAGAGATAGAGTAAGAAAATCCCCTTTCATACTTAGAGCTCCGTTGAAATGATATTTGAAGGTAATAGAAGGGTTATGAATAATTTCTTTTAGAGTCTTGTTGGTAGAAATTACAAAACGATTATGAAAGTAATCATTATGCATGTCCCTCGAAGGAGGGAGCTAAAATTCACCACAAAATTCAACAACTTATCTATTTAAATTCTCCTAGCCGAATTGTCCTCATTATTATTGATTTTCTCGTTGCTCTTTATTTTGCGATAACGTCATTCCGTGTATATTTTGTTTAGATATGTTACACTCATCAACACACAATAACACTTAAAACTCGACTAATCTTCAATAACAAAAGTAACCAAAAAATAGGTTTTACGTGGAATCGATAATGTACTTATTACATGCTATTGATGATAGTGTATACTTGTACTTATTCTTGTGAATTTCACACTATTTTACTATATACATTCACAAGACATCGGTCATGATGGTATGTCACAAGTTGTATTACACATTCATATTTTACGACACTTCATGTATATATATGTGTGTTTCCGAGCCATGATGATCAGGTAATGTAAAGAGATAGGCAATATGACTCTGCTGTTAGAGTCGCAATATGGTCATAATTATATGAAATTCTTTAAGAGATGTGATGAACGTGATGGAAGTTAAGACCATGAAACTTTAGAATAATTGTGGCGTGATTCATGACATGGTACAGTCATAGGATGCTAGCAAAATTTAGAAAATTTGGTGATATGGCCATGAGAGGGTTGTGATATGGCCCGTATGGTGTAAGGTGTGCTTGCATATTTACATTTTCCGTCCACCATAGTAAAGTCACCACTCACACTAGTTTGACCTATAGAAAAGATCAGGATAATGGCAAATTATTATAAATTTATAACAACTTATTTAAATACATTTTTATTTCATTTTTACAAATAAAAGTTAATAAATAAATAAATTACTTATTTACATTATTAATTAATTAGCTAACAATATCTTAGACATAATCATTAATTAATTAATTAAGATGAGTTAACTTAAAAAAATGTTTTTCATTAATTATAACTCATTACTTATTGAACGTTTATTTGGACTAATTTTAATTAGCTCATTTATATATCATAACTTTAAAGCATAATTGTAATTAATAACAATGAACTAAGTGATTTGCAATTTACTAATTGGGAGACAAACATTGTTTTCACTTTTGTCTCTCATCCAAACTCTGTTCTTTGCCAAAAATATTAAATAGAGAAAATTCGTTTAAAATCTGTTATAACTGGAACTGTGTTGAGGATTATTGGGAGGGAGACCCACGTTAACTAATTTAGAGAATGATTATGAATTTATAAGTAAGGAATACATCTACATTGGTACGAGTCTTTTTGGGAGAGCCCAAAGAAAAGTCATGAGAACTTATGCTCAAAGTTAATACCATTGTGGAAATCTGTGATTCATAACATGGTATCATGTGATTCATAACATGGTATCAATAGTCATGCCCTTAATTTATGTCAATAGAATCTTCAAATGCCAAACAAAGAAGTTGTGAGCCTCGAAGGTGTAGTCAAAAGTGACTCAAGTGTCGAACAAAGGGTGTACTTTGTTCGAGGGCCCCATAGGCCTCAAGGGAGGCTCTATAATGTACTTTGTTTGACATGAGTTTATAAGTAAGGAATACATCTCCATTGGTATAAGGTATTTTGGGGAAGCCCAAAACAAAGCTATGAGAACTAGTCACGAGAACTTATGCTCAAAGTGGACAATATCATACCATTGTAGAGATCCGTGATTCCTAACAAATCCTTCTAAAAATTTCTAAGAACTGGCCATGAAAACGTAATTGATTATTTAAAGTTTATGACGAATTATCAGAGTAAAAATACCACTTTACAACAGATCAAGTAAAGAATGAGAAATCAAACCTGCCTCTATGTTTATGGGGTTGATACAAACTGATTGCTGATACTACCACACCCCCCCCATTGTATTATCTATGCAGGTCCACGACCCGATCCTCATCGAGCAAGGAAAGATCTCGCCAAAGAGCAATATTTTTCTTTATTCTTTTTATACTCGTTGTAACGCAGGAAGAAATAACGAAGGTAATCAAAATCAATTGGAGACATCCTTGCCTAAAAAGTATAATTAAGTGAATGAACATAGAACATAAAACATTTGGGTCAAATAGTATGGAAGGTCAATGGATGAAGTAAGATACCTGTATAAGCGCCCATAAAGCCCAATACAAGTGTGAAGCCAGCATGAATATGTTTGACTCCACGTAGAGAGCTTCAAGATCTTCTTGGGAAACCTTCCACGAAAATACAGTAGTTCAAATTAGTATAGAAAATGATTGCTAAAAAGTACAATGTCTCTGCAGATCCTCGAAGCGTCAGAGAACTAATATATTCTGGTACTCTACATTTACATTCCATCCATGTTCGAATTATCGTAATCATAAATTTGAGATTAATAAGTTATATAACATATGTTCTCAAAAAAGGGAGTGATAAAAAAAAAAAGAGAACGAAAAGGAAAAAAGATTACTGCCTAGGGTAGAGTACCAATTCAGTTTAAGCAAAGAATTGGAAGCCCATAACATTAGAAACCACGACTCTCCACAATGGTATGATATTGTCTACTTTGAGTATAAGGTCTCATGGGTTCGCTTTTGGTTTCCCCAAAAAGCCTCATACCAATGGAGATGTATTCCTTGCTCTTAATTAGTCGAGGTGGGACTTTTCTCCCAACAATCCTCAACAATCCTCCCCTCATACAAAGTACAGTTATAGAGTCTCCCCTGAGGCCTTGACTCCTTCTCTGGAGCCCTCAAACAAAATACACCCTTTGTTCGACACTTAAGTCACTTTTGACTACACCTTTGAGGCTTACAACTTCTTTGTTCGGCATTTGAGGATTCTATTGGCATGGTTAGTTAAGAGCATGACTCCAATACCATGTTAGAAACCATGGACCTCCACAATAGTATGGTATTGTCCACTTTGAACATAAGCTCTCATGGCTTTGCTTTTGGCTTCCCGAAAAGGCCTCATACCAATGGAGATGTATTCCTTACTCTTAATTAGTCAATGTGGGACTTCTCTCCCAACCATCCTCAACATAAAATGCATGAAAAAGAATTAAGAGAAGAAGATTCGTGAGAATGAGCATAAAACCTCAATCCTACAGCGTATGGTGTTGAGGCTCAAAGTAAGATAAGGAAAGCGTTCATGGCAGAGGTCATCATGGGTTGATGAAAAAGTCAACCAGATTCTAGACTTTTTAAACATACATCAACAGAATGCATGAATCTTTGAGCTAAAATGAAATGAGTATTTCTGTCAACGCACCTCGTCTGGTTCTTCAGGTTGTAAATAATGCCTGAAGAAATGATACTGTTCCTCCTTGGACGGATAACTGCTCAGCAATTGATGAAACTATAGTCAAACTTCAATTTTCCTATATTTTAGACGGAAAATTTACAGATGAAAAGAAGATTAAGAACCTACCAGCTGTAGTCACAGTCGTAGCCTGCATATTCATTGAAGTGATTGCCAATGTCGAAGCCTCTGTAATTGTATGATCCATACTCGAAATCAATGAAGTAGAGTCGTTCTGCATGTTAGTAAGATGAGCAATATGAGGTCAATATGATGAGAATCTTATTGGGGGAAAGCAGAGAAGTCCAACTAAAGTTCACAGCCAATCAATCCTTGGTCGTCAAGTTCCCTCTCAGCCTAGTGAGGGAATCAAATTGCTAACCAGAAGAAGATCCACATTCGAAGTCCTAACGTCCACATTACTACCATTATATCTTACTCCGGCATCTCATAAGTTGTTCATTCTCAACAGTCAAAGACATGCTAATGTCCCTTGCACAACTATTTGGAAAGTATAAAAGATCTTATTTAATATCCTTAATATTTGCAATATGAAAGCACATCTTCATAATTCATATCATAAGGGAATAATAATAATATGGAAAATGGAGAAGGATATATAGACGAGAGTACATGAGAGAGCGGGGGGAGTACATATATATTGTTATATGAGAGAAGAAAGTAATATATGGTAATGGAGAATTTGAAGGAATCTAGGGAAGAAGTGGAATGTAGTATTATAGGTGGTTACCTTCTTCCTCATTTAGCATTAGGTTCCCAGAAAGCAGGTCATTGTGCGAAAACACAACGGGTGCATCAAGGAGGCTTGTTAGTTCCTGTTCAATCAAGTTGCATCAATAAACAGACTCTTTTCCAAAGCAGATGGTCACTCAAAAAATAGTCAAAAGCTATTACAAAGAATCAATAAAATGGCTCTATGCAAGAGACTACCTTAATCTCAAGTACTTCATTGTGAATTTCCGTAAAAGAAATTGAATCGTATATACATTGCTTCTCGGTATCATCAAATTGCAGTGCAGAGGCTGAAAGTCAACAATGAGAAACGTGAAAACCAGTTCAAAAGAAAATAGAATATTCAACTGCATGAGGGGTCCTCTGACCAGAAGAAGCTTGTTATTGGTTGAAGAAAAATAACCTTTCCCGTAACATTTAAAAATTTCGATCCATAACTGAGGTTCTGTAGAACCTGGAATATACACTTTGTGGAATTTATTAAGCTGTTTAGCAATTTCTGCAGCTAGCTCTGGCTTTCTTATATCTGCAAAACCAAGCAAAATTAACAAAATATTTGTTATTAATCATAGGATTCAAAAGATTCTCCCATAGAGAAAAAAAAAAAAACAATAGGACATGACACATGAAAACGTAAGAGACTGAAGGGGGAAGCAGTTCCAAGATAAACACACAAGCAACTCTATTGAAAGTAAAAAAGATGGATGACAAATTAAGGGTTAAAGATCCCAAATTGATGTCCACACTGAATCAGGATATAGCTCGGTTTAGTCCATGTAATAATGGCTAAGCCAATTGGTCTTTTCTAATCAACCTCCAAAACAAACCAATATTCATTGTAAACGAAAAAAATGCATCTTAAAGTATCCTACACAACATTACCTTCAAGTCTGATGAAACCACACATCTCCTAAGACAGGCTATCATTCTCCAAACAATGTCCTTCAGCCCAATTCAGCCCAATCAAGAGCTATTTTTTAAAAAACAAGAAACGAAACTTTTCATTGAACACATGAAAAGAGACTAATGCTCAAATATAGGAGCTCTAAAAGGTAATAGGAAGTATGTCTGGTAAAGAGAAAACAAATACAAGCTAAAATAAAGAACACCGTAGGAAATTATGAGAGCAGCTGGGGCAATGCAAAGCAGCCGACAACAGGATCCCTCCAACAGATAAACTTCATAAATGATGCAAAAGGAACTGCTAAGAGAAGGAGAAAACTTCCAACAAAGGGCCTCGGTAAAAAAGAAATCAAATGGATTCAAGGGGGCTTTTAGAGAACATATCAATAATGAAAGAATAAATAGGAGCATTCGGTTTCTTCTTCTTTTCTTCCTTAAACCTTCCGAAAAAGAAGAATCTTACAGCTTAGAAGCTTTGGAGCCTTGAATGCGGAGACTTGAAACTAACGTTAAAACAAACTTAGTGCTGATTGAGGATTCAAAAAGACTTTCAATAGAGAGCCAAACTCACAGCTTAGAAGGTTTGAAGCCTTGAATGAGATAGAGACTAGAAATTGACGTCAAAACAAACTGACTCGGTGCTTGTGCTATTTGGATGTTGCCTTGGGATGATCTAGTTACTGCCACGAGGTGAAGAGTAAGCTCTAGTTGTTAGTAGTAGACATTGAAGGGATGCTCAAGTGTGAAACTTTGTTTGAGGGAAGGAGTGTTTAGAGCAAACAAATTCTCATATTGACCAAGGAAAGGAGAGCTCTATGGTACATAAGTAAGGATAATTATCTCCATTAATATGAAGCACTTTGGGTGGTTCCAAAAGTAACGTCACGAGGGTTTAAGCCCAAAGCAGACAGTATAATACTATTGTGTAGATGTAGCAACATCCACATAACTTCACCTGTTGGACGGTTCATTTATCTCATAAAGAGAAATTGGATCTATTCTAGGAGACATCTTAAAAGGGAAATTGTCCAAATAATGGCAAGCCTCAAAAGACTAAAGAAATTCTTTAGTATTTCCCGCAAACAATTCCATCCAGGGAAATTGTCCAAATAATGGCAGGCACATTGATCAACTTTCGTCCTCCAAAATGATGCCACACAAAATAGACAACTTGCTAACCATTGACAGAGTTGAATTTGGAGAGACGGGAGGTGTCAACCTCATCATATCTTGTGTAAAGAAATAAGCTTTCTTTGGAAGCTGCTATAATTCAACTAAAGCGTCTTCAACCCCATCGCAAATCTGAGGGATAGGGGAATTACCTAGTTGTACTTCACATTTCAATATATAGAACATATCAATTTCATACCAAATGCAAAAACAATTATCACATATACAACGGCTTCAAACCTCCATAATTTGGGATCAACTTAATAATGTAAAAACAAAAAATAACCACGAACGAAATCTAAAAAGAACTAGATTAATCGAACACTAGATAGAATAGTAGGCTTAAGGAAAGAAAATTTTGGATGAAGGAAGGAAACACGAAAGAAGATTATTATCTCCATTGGTATGAGGTCTTTTGGATAGCTCTAAAAACAAAGTCACTAGAGTTTATACTCAAAATGAACAATATCATACCATTGTATAGATATGTAGAGAGGGGTCTTTTGTCCTTATCAATTGGCAGAAAAGTAAGAGGCCTTGTGTTTAAACTCCAGTAACCCTTGTAATATCATTTTCTCTCGAATTAATATTTATTCCATTTGTTTGGCTTTTTACAAATTTTCATGCCCACAAGTAAAGAGCAGTGTTGAAGTATTGATATAATTAAATATAATGCATCCTATTAGTTTAAGATTGTAATTGTGTGAGTTTAACGGTGACTTAACAAAGAGTATTTTCCAAGTCTCTCATTAAAAAAAAAAAAAAAAAAAAAAAAAAAGAAAAAAAAAAGTGTTTTTCTTACCTTGAAAGAGATGGTTGCTACATTCCTTGTGTTAGGTGCAAACAAACTCCAACATTGGCTAGGGAAGGGGCAAATCTATGATGTGACTGACCACAATCATCTCTATTAGTATGAAACTTTTTGGGTAGTTCCAAACGTAAAGTCATGAGGATTTATGTCCAAAGTGGAAATGACCACCCGTTTTATGATGGAAGAGTTTTTTGGATGCTTCTTATTAGGGAACAGCTTGAAGGACAGCATGGAAGGTGATAAAAGAAAAAAAAAATGACCTCCACTGGTATGATATTGTCCACAAACCTTCATGGTTTTCGTATGATATTGTCAACTTTGGACATAAACCTTCATGGTTTTGTTTTTGAAACCACCGAAAGACCTCATACCTCCTAGTCAATGTGGGACTTCGTTTGCACCTAACAATCCTCCCTTCAAACAAGGTGCCTCCTTTCATCCATCCACTCTCAATTGCCTACAAGAGTTTGCTCTTATCAAGGTCCAGAGCAAAATTAGACAGAGCATGACTACAGATCACATTGTTTGATAATACTAGGTGTGTATCACTGTCGCACTCTTAATCTCCTCTTCAAAATCATTGAGGATCTCACCAACACAGCTAGGTTGAGACCATGACTCTGATTCCAATTAAAGACAAAAGACCTCCATCTATCTTCACAATGGTATGAGGTTGTATATTATCTGAGAGTAATTATCAATTCCAACCAAAATCTGGGAGTGCAATGACAAGTAATGAATAAATGGCTGAGTTTCATGAGTAGTTTTACAGATGTGCAGCAATGTGGAGATAAAACCATGTGTGGCAAATGGAGCTGCATTCTCTCAAATGTCTTGATGCCATCGTGGCCAAGTTCCCAAAGGGAAAATTAACCTTCTTTGGATAAAAATCTGTCTATATCGCCTCTTGAAGAGGGTGTAGTGCTGTCCTACAGGTGTCAAGATCGATCAGTAGAGATTTAGTGGAGTAAAACCCCTTGTTATTCCAAATTCATGCGCATTAATCCCTGTAGTGTGTTAAATGAACCCTATTCAATAGGTCCATAAAATTAATCCATTCCTCAGTTTCGTCATCAGAGAGATTTCTCCTCAAATTCATATTCCACCCACCATGTTTCTCATTCCATGTGTCTTGACTGGATATATCTTTTTAAGAAAAGCCAGTGAGAAAAGACATGGGAACTGACGATCATGCCAAAATGAAGTGTTAGCTTATCTCCATTCCCCACTTTTTGTTTCAATCTTTCCCAGACGAGGTTTAATGGAAATTATATAGATCTCCATGGTCCCCTAAACCATCTTCTTCGTAAAGGTATCTTCATATCCACTTGGCTAATAAAGGTCTGTTCTTTTCTGCCAAATTTTGAAGCTCGAGGTCTCCACTAGGGACTTTATCTCATCTAACAAGATGAACTCCGGAATGGGATGTGCTTCCTTTACATAGGAACCTATGGAGTTTTTCAACCATAGAAGAAACTTTCAATGGGGTCTCGGAGAGAGACAAGTAATAAGTGGAAGATTCGAGAGTGCGGCTTGTAAAGTGTAAGATGACTCCCTTGGATATGTGTGAGTGATTTCATGAGTAGAGCCTTCTTTCAATATTCTCAACAACTGGGGTCCAAGAGGACCTAGTTCTTGGCTTTCTATATAAAGGGAGGCCTAGGTATAAATTCAGCCAATGTCCTTGTCTACAATCAAATTTGTTGGCTATTAATTCAACCTCATCTTGCTCTGTATTTACCCCAGTAATCTCAGATTTTTATGATCTATATTCAGTCTGGATGCCTTTTCAAAATAGTCAACAAGGCCAAGAAGGTTGTCAATTGCCATATTCTAGATGAAAAAATAATAGTGTCATTGGCAAATAGGAGGTGATTCATCTGAAGAGAATCTTTACCAATTTAATGTCACTAATAAAGCATGTTTCGATCAACCTTCTACGAAAACAATCCATGACAATAATAAAGAGGAAGCGTGAGAGAGGGTCACCATGTTGAAGGTTCTTGAGGCATATATCTTTCCTCTTGGGTAACCATTGATAATGATGGAGAAGTTTGGAGATGATATACACCCTTTGATCCACTTCCTCCCTGTTGTACCAAAACCCTTGGTATTGAGGATTAAATCAAGAAGATTTCAATCCACTTTGTCAAAAGCATTTTCAATATCAATTTAAACCACAATGCCCTTATTCTTCTTCTTGAAACATATCTCCGCCACTTCATTGGCAATCAATCAGGCATCAACAATTTGTCTACCCCCCACAAAAGATGATCGGTAATTAGTAATGGTGGAGAGGACTTTTTTGAGTTGTTCCAAAAGGACTCTAGCAATGATCTTGTAAAGGTAAGAGATTAGGCTAATAGGTATATAATCCCTGACTTCTCATGCATCCATCCTTTTTGGTATAAGGCAAATGTAAAAATGTAAAAATCTGCATTAAAATCATTCATTATTGAAGTAGGGACTGAGGGGTCAATTACCTTTTACCGTGTATAATAGAGTAGATATGCCTCACTAAAACTGTTTCTTACTTCCTCAAGAATCAGGAATAAGGGGTTGAAAGCCACTGAAGGATCGTGAAGAGACTTTTCTTTAATTATTGCATTTACATCAACAGACGTTACATTAATACCACATTCTTCAATTGGCAGATCATTAATCGTAGACGTACTGTAGATGAAGGAATCTCCTTATAAGTAATGACTGGTCATCAAGCAGCCCTTGGTAATTTAAACACATCAACCAATCATAAGTCGTTGATGCATAATCTCTAACCTTCCGAATTTAATAGGGCCGGAAACTCATCAATTCTTTCATATGTAGGGCCTTTTCACCTTTACTTGCTGACTTAACCCTTAAAAAATCCAAGGAATTCGAAAAGTCACTTTCAGTCAACTTCCTATAAAAAAATAGAGGATCAAAGGAAGGATCAAAATTCCTACTTTCATATAAGCTTCAGAGATATAAGAAGACCTCCAACGTGTTATCGTACTGCTTCAAAAGTGCCTTTCTTCCAATTGATAAAGGTAAATTTTAATTGATTTCCAACCTCCATTCTCTTCAACAAGATCTGAGTGAAATTGTTCTTCTCTTGAACACTTTTCAATCTTCAAATGAAATTTCCTAAGAGTTTCTTTTTCCATTTGATCCTTAATCTTTTAGAAATCTTCCTTCATCCATGTTGAGCAATGCTTTATCGATCATAAAAGGCTTGATCAAAACAGTGACCTCAAGAAATAACAAATAATTCAGTAAAACTCATGTTCACCACTTCATGATCATTTCTTAGCCAAATTGGTTGAGAAGATTTTAAAACTATTAAGATTTTTCAATTGGACATTGGACCTCAGATTTCCGTTCACCATCTCCACATAACTTCTGGAGACTGGAGTTGACAGACTCCTTAACCATGGGCAGCTTAGGCAGATTCTGTGATTTCTGAAATTATTCTCATACTTCTTTAGGAAGTCTTTCAACATACCCCATAAAATGAGCCAACCTTTTTTAGAAATTTCCACAAAGACTTGACTAAGCTTTCTTCCAAGCTCCTGATGATCGCTGTACTGCACACTCAGTGCTCCACCCTAGAGAAGATCTTCTTATTCATAAGCGATTTGTACCAAATTCATCCCCGGGGATTACCAGCTTGTTGACCATGTCTTCAACTGTCATTCTCTAACCAGCATAAATACTTATTGTTTACACAATAGCTCCTTGAATCTTTCACTCAAAACAAGGGTAAACCAGAAACAGAACTTAAAAAAAAAAGTAAGACCTGATGCTCAACTTGGAAGCCGAAGTCAGATAAAACTATTTAAACTTGGATGCATAAACTGATTAATCGGTTGAAGATCCAGTAGCTAAGAAAATACAAGATCAAAGGATGAACACCTAACTTAAATGCAGAAACTGATGAAGAAAAACCGGGGTTGAAGGGAAGAAGGAGAGGTGGGGGTGGGGGGGAGAAGGCGCAGGGTGCTGTGAGCATGAAGTACTTAAAGAATAAACTGGTTCTAAACCAATCAAGGGCTATTTGAATTACTACTACTGAAAAAATTAAGATTCTCAGGTGAAATGTTCAAAACCCAGCCGACATATTGCTGGACGTGAAAAACAAATTTAAGACCAAGATCTAACTATTAAAATGTACATATTAGTATTGAATTAATATTTCATTTCCTGTCTCTAATAGATCTTAACTACAAAGATTTCAACGTGGCCACTCTTAGATGAAATGCTACATAATGATCAACAATCTTCTATATTGAATGTTTGAACTGGATTGTGTGTAAATAAGGTCTACACCAGACAGATTCTCAATGCCTTCTTACCTGATGGTTCTAGCGTACGTGCATGAATAAATGACTGCACCATGCCATTTTTAAAAACTCCAAGAAGCTTGGCACCAAATCCTGCAGCTGAAAGATATTTGATTGCCTAATACAAGATTTCATGAGATTACAGAGTGAAGCCAAGTGAAAAATAAAAAAAATAGTTGCATTATTTGGACAATCAAATTCAAGATAAGAATAAAAAATACATGGTTGTATTATATAGATTGCACACTAGATTTCATGAAATCCACACGAACTTTCTTGAATCCTCTTGGTTCAAGACCATGCAAGTAAGGGATGTAAGACCATAATAGTCGTAGGAAAATCATTAAGAAAGTAAAATGGAACAAAAGACAAGGAAATTGTGGATGAGGAAAAAAAAATCATGATTTAAGAGATTCAGGCCTACACTACACCCTCTGAGCAACAAGTCCAATCAAGTGTCAAAATCTTGAAAGTCACAAGATCCAACCCCAGGCAATTCGCGCCTCTCTGTCAGGAACAGAATTTCCCACACAAAGCAGATAACTTACTCAATTACAGAGAGAAAAACAACTGGCACTCTCTTTAGCAAATATGAATTGATTACAGAGAAGAAGTCTTCAATACTTGTATGCACGCATAAAACAAAAACAAACAGAATACTACCTACCTTAAGAGTTGTATATAGACCACCCAGAACACCAAAATCAATTTTGCCGATCAGATCATTCACAAAACAATAATAATAATAACCACTTCGTAAATGTTGATTCAGTACTCAATTGCTAATGGTTAAAAAAAATTAGATATATATATTTGAATTCTGAACCAATATAGATCAGGTTTGAGCACAATAGGTTTCTGTCAAAGGTACAGTTTTTGATTGTCATGTACACATGAACGAACACCAAATGTACAGCATGAGAATATTTTCAAACATAGCTGAATTTTAGTTTACTGTTGATTAAATAGTGGCTAATTATGGTCATAAAGTATGAAGGTTATAACTCTTGAAATGTCTCGTGGAAGGTCAAGTGTTTTCATTTTGAGGCTATATAAAACCATGTATGTTATATTTCCAAAGGAGACTTGGAAAATGCAGTAAAAAGAGGATTTGTACTTTCCTTTAGTCAGGGACTAATTTTCTATGCAATTCTATGTAGTTTAGATTACATGTTTAGAATCATTCAAACTTGACATGATCAATCTTGCTTGTGAAGTGATTTGAATCTCAAAGAAGTAGTTTAGATTGCATGTTTAGAATCATTCAAGCTTGATATGATCAATCTTGCTTGTGGAGTGATTTGAATCTCAAAAAGTGTTCTTGCCTTGAAATATTTTATCAACAAGATAATTCGAGTTTTACTTTTTCCTTGGGGTGAAATCAAATTAACGGGGGAGTTTTAGCATTTGTGAACTAGGAGTTGCAAATTCAGGCGCTTACGAGGGTTCTTAGATTCAACTAGCTAGAGTTTCCATATCACATTAAGAACAAAACCTATATATCACCTTAAGAACAGTTAGCTTTCGATTCACAGAGTGCGTGGCTAGATTGCTTTAGGGTTGACTATGCAAAAAGATGATACATCATGACAGACAGAGGGAAAAGGTGTTGCCGACGTGAAGAACAACGACTAAAACCAAACACTACACGAAGCATACACAATAAACGGATATTTTCACACGCAATAATCAATCAAGAAGCATCGCAAATTACCTGAAGTTCCCGATCACGATTGATAACATAATCCGTGTTAGGTCCATATAGTCTGACGGTGGTGGAAACGTTACTACCATTTTCCTCCTCCACTGTAACCTTAAGCACTGCAGAAATCCACAAAAAATCCTTTCACATAACAGAAATCCACAAGCAACGAAGAAACAGTAGCCACAACCTCGAACACAGTCTTGCCGTAATCTAATTGAACGAAGAAATACATTGTGTAAGCGAACACTCACGCTGATTCGTGATCCCACCGGAGACCGTTTCAACAGAGAACCGAGAATCATCCAGCTCCGACCACTGCTTAAACAGATCCTTACACAGCTCGCTGCAATTAAGAAACCGATTCAGAACAAAAACATTCAAACAAACTTACAGAATCAACTCCGAGAAGCTGGGAGATGACATCATCAAATTCAAAAAAAAAAACAAAAACAAGAACCACTGTTCGTCCTGCTTCCAGTTCATCCAAAACACAACAGAAATAGACGCCATAAACAATCCGTATGTGGAAACAAGAAAGCAAATGAAAGAGGAACCAATACGAACATTATGCAAGGGATCATGGCGGGAAGAGGAAGACAATGGTCGATGGAAAGATTCGATAACTGATACGACTCGGTATTTCCATCTCCATTTCCTACAGATTCTTCCACATCCACGGAGCCATTGTAGATCTTCTCAGCCCCCATGATTTCTCAATCTTTTTTTTTTTTTTTTTTTTTTTTGGATTCAGCTATGAATCAACGCAAGAACAAAAGAACATAGATTCACGAACTTTTCTTGGAGATTTGAAAGCGCAATATTAATGGGAACATGTGCTCCTTCATCAACGATTCTGTTTTCTGTATGATCATAGCGACGATTCTCCACCGCACGATTAAAAATGTGTTTAACTTATTTGACTGTTATTGCTTAACTTTATTGTTATAATCGTCACATTAATGCGACCCAATTATTAAATTATTGAAAATATCTTATGACTTACATTTATAATTCCAATTTAAAATGGTTCATTTTAACCCGGACCACCTCGGCTCCTCTCTTCTCGAGAATTCATACATCCCTTATCAGTATATGGACAGCTATCTCTCGAGCACAGGTTTAGGTTCGGCCTCAATGGGCATACATCCCTTATCAGTATATGGACAGCTATCTCTCGAGCACAGGTTTAGGTTCGGCCTCAATGGGAAAATAAAACGGAGCACCTAACNACGTATCTTCACAGACCAAGAACTATGAGATCGCCCCTTTCATTCTGGGGTGACGGAGGGATCGTACCATTCGAGCCTTTTTTTTCATGCTTTGAGATCGCCCCTTTCATTCTGGGGTGACGGAGGGATCGTACCATTCGAGCCTTTTTTTTCATGCTTTTCCCGGGCCCCTTTCATTCTGGGGTGACGGAGGGATCGTACCATTCGAGCCTTTTTTTTCATGCTTTTCCCGGAGGTCTGGAGAAAGCTCCAATCAATAGGATTTTCTTAATCCTCCCTTCCCGAAAGCGAAATTACCGTTCGATGTTCGTTACAAAACCGCTCGGGATGCTTTTGTCATTATATTCAAAAATACTATCTCCATTGGTATTAGCGCGTTTAAGAGTTTATACTCAAATACGACAATATCATATTACTATGGAGATCTTTTATTCGGGTCAATTAGCATCAGAGTAACATTGGTATAAGTTTGTCTAATCTCTTGAAATTCTTAGTATACTCTGTGTAATGCCCCTAATTTTCTTACCTAAATTAGAGACGTCATTACATACATTTTTTTGATATATGTGAAAAATTTAATGAAGTCGTTTAAACGAAATCACCGTCATCCGTGCAGAGTCGTTTTAACCTTTACCTCAAATATAAGAGGAAATACTCAGTACGTAATGCAATCGCACACGTACATGATGGGACCTATCTTTTTTGAACAACATAGCATGACTTTGAGCTCTTTTCAAACCAGACACGGTTGGATGTGGTGTATTTCCCCACACATGACCCACGCACGCGCACATGGACCCACCAGGATAGGCTTGTATACGTACCCCTAGACCTAGCTTGTCGAACTAAACGCGTTAACATGTCATCGGACACCATAGAAGGAAAAACTCACATGATATCATGGCGAACATAAATATCGAAAGGTACACGTCTATATTAACATAACATAAGGTAAAAGTATTCAAATGCACATGACATACATAAATATATGAGGTCCCCATGATTTAATATAGTCGTTTACTTCTTTGGCTTTAATCGGAGTTCCTAAATACCTTCAACATCCAATTTACCCTATACGGACTAGTGCCACAACACTATGATATATCAGGGAACTTAGTTTACCTAAACGTATTGAATATTTCCAACTTTTAGCTCAAAAATACTTAATTTGAGTAAATAGTAGTCTTACGGGCCTCAAATACCCTTAATAGGATAAAAAAAACAACTTCGGGAGGGTTGAAAATGTGAGAACGAGTCCGAAAACCCTTTACCGAGCTAAATAAGCCTTAACTCAAGTCGTCGAGCTGTTAAGCAGGTTGAGATGACCACAACTAGTGGGCAGGACACATCCTGCACGTGTGGTGACTAGGAAATGCGCGTGGGTCATCGCTCGAGTCGAACTGCTAACTTCAGGTTATAATAAGGTCAATATCAAAATCGGAGAAAAAATAATCGAACTGAGGTCGAACAATCGAAAAAGGAGCTCACCACGTGTCATACGCACGAACCACGCACTTGGAGAGTGTCCCATGTGTCTCAGTCATGTTTGTTTAGGACGTGTTGTCCATGGCCGGAAGACCGTTCCAAACCCCTTTTACTTACTTTCATGTAAGATAAGTTTTTACTATTCTTAGTGTGTTAATACGAGGGTGTATGACCGATAACGAAAATCATGTCTACACTCGTCAGGGTTAAAATGCCCCAAAATGTACTATAGGGAATATGACTAATTGTCGATTCTTCGTACCCGGGTTATATTTATCAAACCTATTGTTATTGTTTATTCGCTTTTTGCTTATAACATTGATTTCTTTCAAATTATTTTCAACGCATTTCTTTCGCTTACGTTTTCTAATATATTTCTTTCAAACGTGACACAAGACTCAATTATATACTAAGATTGTCCACAAAGTCCAGCTTTTATACGACTAACTTATTCACAGGGTTAGAATAAGCGTCACTACTACAAGAACGCGATTGTGACACTATGCACGCATCCACCCACAAGGACAAACATGCCTCGGGAAGGGGTATGCGCTCTCAGCATAGCACGTGGTCCAGCTGGTTAACTACTTTGACCCATGCAACGCGCATTTGGTCCAAATAAAGAAATAAATAATGTTTTTAAAAACGATGTAAAAAAAAAAAAAATTCAAACACTCTCCTCAAGAATTTAAAATATATTTATGTAATCGGATAAAATTTGTCCGTTAATAATATATGAATTTGGTTAGTAGTATATTTTCTAATTGGTCCATTTTTAATGGAACAAAATAAATGAACGAATAAAATAAAGGAAAAAATGAACGAGTGAAGCACTCTATATTTCAAAAACATCAATGTAATCGGCTATATTTTAAAAATATACACAGTAGGGATGTTAAATTCAACCCGACAACCTGGACCAACCTAACCCGAACTATAAGGGTTGGATTGGGTTGATTAGCATTTCAGGTAGGGTTAGGTTCATTTTTCTGAACCTGAACTGAATTGGTTCGGTTTTGAGTTCATGAACAAAGCTTTCGAGTTGACCCGAGCCAAATAAAAATATATATAACATACTAAGGGACTAAGGCCGGTTCAGGGACACTCATGCTCGAATTCGAGCCAGGCAAATATATGTTTCTTTTTATTATTTTGTTATTTTATTATTTTTAATTTCTTTGTTTCGTTTATTTTATTATTTTTAATTAATTTTTTTGTTTTGTTTATATTATTTTGTTATTTTATTATTTTTAATTTCTTTGTTTTGTTTATATTATTATGTTATTTTATTATTTTTAATTTCTTTGTTTTGTTTATATTATTTTGTTATTTTATTATTTTTAATTTCTTTGTTTTGTTTATATTATTTTCTTATTTTTAATTTGCAATTCAGAAGTATATTAATACATTTTTGTTAATGTTACTCTATATTTTAAATTGAAATTCTAATTATTTATTATCTATGGGAATATTATTATATAACAATTTATATATTTTTATTTTTTTAATAGTTTAGTACCAGCCTATTTCAATTAAAATATTTTTATATATTTTTTAATTTTGTTATATACAATATCTTTAAACTAATTATTTTTATGATTTATTTAATTTCAAGATCTATCTTTATATTTTTTTTGTTATTTAACTAATTTTCAAAATGTTGGTATTTAGTTGTCTTTAGTTATATGACAATGTTGAACTATGTTAATATGTTACAATTTTTGCTCCTTGTTTTTTATTAAATTTGTTTTTTTTTTTTTTTCGTCAATAGTTAATAGATTTGTATTTAGTTGTGAACTTTTAATATATTTTATCTAAGATTTATTCGAATAATGAAGATAAATAAAACTTAAAAAAAAATTGACAACACAACCCGAAAATAGAGGGTTGGGTTGGGTTGGGTTGTCAAAAGTTTTAGGTTGGGTTACCCATCCAACCAACCCGAACTTTTGAGTTGGGTCAAAAAAATCCTCCAACCCCACCCAACCCGGACCATGTACACCCGTAATACACGGTAATTTTAGTCATCAACTCCAAATTCCTAATTTTTTATATTAGAAATTTAGAATAGCATTTTGACAATGTTCTTAAAAACCAGGTACCTCAATTTATTTATTTAATGAGTGAAATTAATTAATTAATTTATTTTTTATTTTTATATAAGAGATAATTTCATTAATGAGTGAAATTTACATTAGGGATTGCCATGATTAGATAGTTTGGTAAACAGGCTTTTCTATAATAGGGCTTTTGCATTCTTGAAAGGGGGTACGTTAAGGCGGGCTTTTGCATTCTTGAAAGGGGGTACGTTAAGGCGGGCTTTTGCATTCTTGAGAGGGGGAACGTTAAGGCGGGCTTTTGCATTCTTGAGAGGAGTACGTTAAGGCGGGCTTTTGCATTCTTGAAAGGGGTACGTTAAAGCCATATCCAAAAAATCCCCTTGACTTTGTGATTCATTTTCTTTCTTGCATAGTAGACACAAGATTGGAGAGAGTGATGTAAGACATTATTTTTTAAAGATTTTCACTCGTACTAATGGCTTTATGCGCTATTTCCCAAAGGATGAGCTTCACCTAAAAGGTCGATTTCCGTCTCACCTATCTGAATTTATGCAAAAAAAAAAAAAAAAAAAAAAAAAGGGATTTGAACTTCACTTTTTACCTTCTAGCATCCTATCTGAAATATCAAGACATTGAAAACATTTGATCTTGAAGAGAGCACGAGAGAGTAGAGTACTATATAATTCCATCAGGATGGTACCATTTGGGGAACTTGGGACAACAAATGAATATTCATTATACAGCAAACGACAACAGAAGGAATATACTGAAGATAGTGTACAACGGATGAAGTCTTACAAATGACAATAATAATAAACAGAGAGCACACGTAGGAACAAAACTGAAAACTGGAATGGTTGATGAACGGTGGTGATCGATCGAGTGGGAGATGTAACACCATTGAATGAAGTTGTCGTCATGGTCGTGACTTATCTGGATTGCGAGTATCGACAAAGAATGTTGAGCAAAGGAGACAGACAT